GACTTGGAGAGCGTCGACCCCTCTGGAGACTTGGAGAGCGTCGACCCCTCTGGAGACTTGGAGAGCGTCGACCCCTCTGGAGACTTGGAGAGCGTCGACCCCTCTGGAGACTTGGAGAGCGTAGACCCCTCTGGAGACTTGGAGAGCGTCGACCCCTCTGGAGACATGGAGAGCGTTGACCCCTCTGGAGGCTTGGAGAGCGTCGCAGATGACGTGGGGACCTGGAGAACTGCAACGGACGATGAGGGGACCCTGGAGTTGACAGCAGGCGACGAGGGGACCCTGGAGTTGACAGCAGGCAACGACGGAGAGGCCTGGGGGGTTGCTGCTGCTGACGACGGAGAGGCCTGGGGAGTTGCTGCTGCTGACGATGGAGAGGCCTGGGGAGTTGCTGCTGCTGACGACGGAGAGGCCTGGGGAGTTGCTGCTGCTGACGACGGAGAGGCCTGGGGAGTTGCTGCTGCTGACGACGGAGAGGCCTGGAGCTCTGCAGCAGACGACGGAGAGACCTGGAGCTCTGCAGCAGACGACGGAGAGGCCTGTGGCTCTGCAGCAGATGACGGAGAGGCCTGTGGCTCTGCAGCAGACGACGGAGAGGCCTGGAGCTCTGCAGCAGACGACGGAGAGGCCTGGAGCTCTGCAGCAGACGACGGATCTCGCCCCCACCGGAAACCTGAGAGGTGAGGCGGCAGACCTGGGTCCCACAGAAACACCAGAACCAACTCTAAGACTCTGCTCAGCCGACGAGACCGGGCCGGTCGCCGCGGACTGCCCCCGGGACCGCTTCCTACCTCCCCGGCGACGGCGGGAGAGTCGGGGGACAGGAACAAAACAGAAATCGTCCTCCATTTCTTCGTCCTCCCCCGACGTCCACCCCGAATAGCCGGGCGAGGCGGACTCAGAAACAGGGACCTGGTGGGTTCCCCGGTGCCGAGCTCTGGTTCTCCTCGAGGACCAGGAGTGGTGAGGACAGGATTTCTACCTCCTGGTCATAATGTCCTTGAGGACGGACGGGCCTGGTGCAGAACCCGCCGCAACAGATTGTAGTCTTGCTCATCACGGGAGGCTCGGAGGGGAAAAAGAAAAAAGGTAAGTTGCCGAGAGAGCCCTGCCCGCTGGGTTCTGATATGTTTTGTCAGGTCGTAATGTCAGGATTTGGTAGTCAGGGACGAACCCAGTTGTGCAGACAGGACTCAACTCGGCAGATTATAAAAATTAATATTTAATGGTGGATAACGAACAAAAATAAACAACTGACGTGGCAGCAAAACTTACGTGAACGGAAGGCTCAGAGGGAAACTCAGGGAGGACTCAGGAGAGCTCAGGGGAAACGCAGGAGAACACAGAGACCCAACGAATACGACCCGACAAAGAACAAGACAGAAACAGACGGCTTATATACAAGGACATGACGAGACGTGATTACAACAGCTGTGACGAGACAAAGGTGGAACCAATTAAACTGACGAGGAAACACTAGGGAAACACAGACACAAACAGAAACAGCAAATGGTACCATCCTTACACTGTATAATGACTTTCAGTTGGCTCCGAGGAGATTCTGGCAAACCATCAGGTGGCTGAGGAGGGGAAAGCAACTCTTTACTAACACTGTGTTCAGTGAAAGTGGGGTACTGATGACTTCAACCAATGATATGTCTGGAGGTGGAAGGAATACTTCTCTGACCTTCTCAATCCCACTAGCACATCTTCAATGGAGGAAAATGAGTCTGGGGACTGCGGGGTTGGTCTGTCCATAACTGTTGCTGATGTCATTGAGGTAGTTAAAAAACTCAGAAGCGGCAGGGCTCCAGAGGTGGATGAGTTTCACCCTGATTTCCTTAAGGCTCTGGATGTTGTGTGGCTGCTTTGGTTGACACACCTTTGCAACATTGCCAAACAGTGGCAGTGCCATTGTTTTGGCAGACTGGGATGGTGGTTCCCCTCGACAAAAAGGGGGACAGGAGGGTGTGCTCCAATTCCAGGAGCATCACTCTCCTCAGCCTCCCTGGTAAGGTCTATTCAGGGGTACTGGAGAAGCAAGTCCTATCGTTGGTTGAACCTCAGATCCAGGAGGAACAATGCGAGTTTCGTCCTGGCTGTGGAACCCTGGACCTGCTCTTTACCCTCACTAGGGTCCTTGACGAGTCATGGGAGTTTGCCTATCCAGTCTATATGTGTTTTATGAAATTGGAGAAAGTATTCAACCGTGTTCCTCGGGGTATACTGTGTTTGTGTGTGTGTGTGTGTGTGTGGGGGG